GTTGCCACTCTTGAAAGCTTGAGACTTTAGACAATCTTTCAATGGAGATTTCCTCCCTACCTCCCTGCGATTTATCGGGGGCTCGGCTGCCAGTTCAATGACAGACTAGTACAGAAAAGAGTTCCAATCGGAAAGTTTAAATTGTACTCGTGGTGTAGTAGATTTTAGAAGTACTTTCCATTATTTGGAATGCATTCTAGGTTTTATTTAAATAAAGTCATATTCACTCGGGGAACATTTGCGGTATGAAAATGATTTGTTCCTATATACTGTGCCTTAATTCTTCCAAATGGGTCGCCTTAACGCGATCTTTTAGAAAACCGTCTTAAAAAGAAAACTGCACGCGTCAGATTAGGAAAGCTGGAAGCTCAAAATCACGTATTCTGCATTCAAAAATTGCATCTCTTAGGAAAACATAAGCTGTGTGTGCACGATTTGTATTTATAGTTTCCATGAAAAATGTTGTGCTAACTATACTTACTGCACTGAATGACTTTTATATCGGGTAGCGATGTGGTTTCTCTGCGCTGCAGTGCCTGTGTTTTTTTACTGTTAATGTGACTATTCTTCCTTAGGAATAAAATTATGAATGGACCAAGTACATTTTCAAAAACCAACTTCATTGCTTTCAAAAATCAACTTCATTGATTAAAGAACAAATTTTTTATATGGCATTTGCTCTAAATAATTTTAAGAGATGACTTTATTTCCTTCTATTGATGTTCTGGTGGAGTTAATGAGATTCATGTAAATTCCGTGAGAATGATACAACGGTAAAATTCCGTTAGAAGATACTAAATACTTCATATTAATCAGGTGAAGTTCTACTGTGATTCCATGTCTCATTTCTTGTGTCGGCGGCGTGTCTGATTGCACCTATAAATGAGATGTTGGGCAATTGAAACCCAATTCTTAAGTCTCTCCATTCGTTTCTGTCTCTCTCTCTCTCTCGTTGAATTCTTTGTCAATTGTTTCGACACAGAAAAAGCACTTTGTTTTAAAAGTGGGACCTCATGTTATGACCCTTATGTTTTTCCTCTTTCCTTCTTAAGTCCAAGCCACTTAACTGCAGCTGTTTCGCTATCTTTCTTAAGTTTTTCCTACAGATAGTGTGAACGAATAAGTTTTGAATTCCTCGAAGGGGGAAGACTTTTGCGTCATACCTCTCTTTAGTTGCTGCAATCAAAGTGGCGATACCCTTTTCATCATCATTAAATACACCAAGATTCGCCAAGATCGCTTTCAGAAATAAAACTCTTACTAGCCATGACGTAATCACGTCAGTGGTCACTCTTCACGATAATTGTATACCTTTTAGTTAATAATGAAACTAACTTACGCAAGCACTCAAAAGATCTAAAAAGTAATACATAACCAATGAGTAAACATCTGTTAAGTAGGCATCCTATCTTACATACTTTCAAAAGGCTCTACTACCTAAAAGAATAGATAAATTCTTATTTTATCCTGTTGTTATAACATTGTATGACATTCCTTCGAAAGAGAAGATAGTTGATCACATGAAAATATACCAAGTCAATAAAATTGACAGACGCGTTTTTAATAACTGCGATCGGTATTTATCTTACAATATAGAGTTAATTTCGTATAAATCATTTTCTGTTAAAAACATTGATGGAACATATGATGAAAAATATGATATTTCAAGTAAAATTAATACGAAATTTTGGTTATGAAAAATATTCGGATACTGTTTTTAATAGTGTTTTTATTTATAATTAATTTTTACGAGAAAGTTTTTTGATAGGGTTGACTGTTTTCGAGATATCTTCAAAAAAAATCAACTGTTTTTTTGTTTTCTAGTTTCTGGCCTGAAATTACTTTCGATTCATCAGACTTTTACTAGTAGGACTTGTTAATCACGCACTTCTGTCTTTTTTACTAAGTTATTTCTCTTTTCGGACGTATGATAGCGCCTGTGTGTGTTGTCGCGTGTGATTGCAAATGACTATGTTCGCGAGTTCTTAGTTTACCTGTACGGCATTACTTCCGATTAATTTGTCTAATTTGAAATATCAAATTTTCGTTCTTCACTGCGTTCCCCCAAAGTTATTTACTTCTGTGATGTGCGTCTTTCAGCGTATTCCTGGGGAGGCGCATCACATGCGAGAATGAGTGCCTAAGGGAGGGAGGGAGAGAGAGAGAGAGAGAGAGAGAGAGAGAGGAGCAGAAGGGGAGACAGGATACAGAGAGAAAGATAGGAATAAATAAATGAAAGAAAGAAAGAAAAGAATGAAAGGGAGGAACAAGATTTGAGGGAAGTTTCTGTAAACGACGGCTCCCAGTCTCCATCCTGTTGCCTTTGCTGCTGTTGCTACCGTTGCTAGCATGAAATGCCGTCTTTCCGCGTGTAGACCAGCGACTCGCCTCCGAAGGTAGCTCGTGTCGTATGCCCACGGCTGCCAGACGTCACCCAGGCTTTGGCGTTCGTTTACATAATGTGGGGGTGCGTTGTCGAAGCGAAATGGCTATTGGGCGACGGGTAGAGGAAGGTGTTGGAAGGGTGACCGTCGTAGGGAATGCTTGCAAGGGAAATTGTTAAGAACAAATCGCCTTCTTGAAGGGGTCGTATTGTCGTCTTGTTTTTTCTGGACGGGGGCGAGCAATGTTGTTAGAAATTGCTGTTTACTTACAGCGGTTCGTCACACTTCATATTTTTAGAATTTCAGATAAATATACAATGAAATAAAGAAAAGAATGATTTAGTATTTGGTCGGCCCAAACAATATTTATCTAATTTCGAAGACATTGTGTACGAATAAAGAAAGTTATATACTTTCGGGAAAGTAGAGGAACTTTTAGATTGTTCTGCGAAAGAAAATATTTATAATAGCTCTATTTACTGCCCTTGCCTCTGGTGTGTTACGATAAAGGGTCATAAGTTAAGCAATTTTGCAAATGCACCTCGAATTTTTCTTTCAAAATGACCTCTATAAGATGGTAGTAAGTAGTAATATTTTTTCTGCATATTATGACTAATCGTGTTCATGGTAAGCACTTTCTTAACTGAGAGATTCTTCATGTTGTAGTTAATATGGTACGGTCGTGGTTGTCATTGATATCTGTTATAGACGCAATCCTGCAACATACGAATCGTATGCTCGATCTTTTTCTTGACACCGATTGTACTAACACAAAAACGGTGTGTTTTTGTAACTGTAAATTTGGTTTTCGGAGTAGGAAGTCTCAAATTCTGTTGCGCATACCAATATATAGACAATAGGATATTTTGAATCAGTCTATTACATTTGTTTGAATGCAGCTCTCCTGGTGACTCTCACTTCTTTGTAAGGATGGGGTGTGCCTCATATTGATTTCTATGAAAGCATGTTTCGAAAATTTATTTTTCCCTTTCTGCAGATATTAGAGGAAAGGTGTGGGTGAAGTTTGACACGGGCACGCTGGTAAAATATATTTACAAAATAATATTTATTCAAAACAAATTTAATCTTGTAATAGTCAATGTCATCTATCAAACTATCATGTCTTGTTATAGTTTGTACACGAATTTGTTATTTACGTAGTGCTAGTTTTCTGAAGATAGATTGTTTAGTATTCGGTTTTAGTGTCTTATATTGAGAATAAAATCACTTTTATTCTACTGGGACTCAGATTAAATATAGTCAATTCACATTTTCATTTTTATTTCCTCCCAAAACCCACCACCTAAGGTTCCTTTTAATAAAATTGATAACCTGTTACTTTAGAACAACAACCGCTTAAAATCTTAGTACATCATTTGTTTTTGAAATGACAATTATCAAATTGCTACGAAGTAAAATATTTTTGTCATCATCTCCTTACATGATGCACACCCACACACTTATTAAAAGGCGAGAAATAGAAGATTAGAATTACCTGACGTGGATGTAGTTTGTTACCCTTTTGCTTGTTACAAGCGTGTAATGTAATAAGACACGCTTGTTCATTTTGGTGGAATAGCGTTTTCCGCTATGGTAGTGTAACATTGGAGTGTGGGAAAGCACAAATTCTCAGAAGTGGGTAAGAGCGTAGACACTTAACTGCTTCATAGGGGAAAAAACTAATATTCATATGGTAATCTAATACTAATAATATAAAACCATTGAACTTTTTTAATGATAGGTAGGGCTTATTTTTATCGACAGTTTGCACCAATGCCTACTGCCCTCCGTTTTACTCTAAGACATTTCACATCCTGAGGCGCTTACCCCAATTTACCTGCCATCACGCCGCAGTTTATCCCTAAGCCCTTAGCTGCCCGTACCAAATCTTTCACTGAACCCCGATGTCCGCTGACGACGCTTAAATTTTTTGTCCGTATAGAGAAGGTAACGATGGCAGTGCACACATCGCTTTCCTCTATCTGTCCGCTGGATGTCATAGTTCGCCCTCCTGTCAGCCTTTTGACCGAGAGGGAGGACCAGTGAATGAATGTTTGTTTCAATTAAGTGAAGTAAGTTTGGAAAAGCCCCACCATGCTACGCGCACACCGAGCATTTTCAATATATTATTTGCAATGAACTTTTATGTAAAGAGTCGGTCTGGATAGCCGAGGTTTGCTAAAGAATGGAGAGCGTGACTGCCTGACTCGATGAATCGCGGGTTGGAATCTCGCCCCGGGCGCTGATGTTTGTGTTTGTTCATGTTCTTCATACGTGTTTTCCCCTTACCGTTACCCTGAAAGATGTAAACAAAAGTTAGAAAACTACAGCGGTTGTTATATGTCCAAAGCGCTTTCAAAGCGACCTTTAAAAAAAAAAAAATAGTTATGTAGTGCGTGCCTCGAGCGGTTAAGCAAGAAGAGTAAGCCACTAGGTCTTGTGGAATCGAGATCTTATCGTTCGATATCCCGAAGTGTCGCAAGGACACAGTTCATTCGATAGCCACTCTTTCGGTTCATTCGATATCACGAACGTAACCATTTCAGGGCACAGGATCAAGAGAGGGGAGAGAGTTGAATGAAAGACGAAGAGATACAGAAGAGGTGCGCGGCTTTATTAAAGCGACGTGACGTAGTTGATCCAGTCGACGAAGCAGGGCACGCGAGCGTACCCGCTGGGCTTGCCCACCTCGCACCCGTCGATGGACACGAAACTGTTGATGCCGATCTGCCGGCCCGTGGACACGTCCAGCAGTGGCCCGCCGCTGTCTCCCTGCGACAAGAAGCACATACACTCACATGGGCTCAGCTCTACACTCGTCTGGCCACCAGAGGCGCACTAGTACGTTTTTCAGTACGAAAACGTTTGATTGAAAGATGACTTGGCGACTGGTATTTCTGGCCAAAGGTCGTAATCTTACAGCAATAACTTATGTCAAGACGTTCTATTCTAACCACCGGTATGTTTGATTTTGTATTAAAGCAGACAGCAAAATTCCAAAATGCAGCACGACATGCTTCCAGAAAGCTTTGCCGAGACGGAGTTTTGTCACCTATGTATCTCTGACGCGGTATGGGTCTGCAAAAGACATTGGAAAGGTTTTTACTCCTGTAATCGTACACCTGTCATCGATATTATGTTTATTGGAGACAGCCATGTGACTATTTACTTCTAGAAACTTTACTGTGTGATTTGCGCCTTTTCGTTTGAAGACTACAATAATACAATAAATTGTATAAAAGTGCATATGCCATGTCCCACGTCCTCGTTTGTAATTGTGTGACTAGAACTGTCCACAAATGAAATGGTGTTTCATTGGGAATTTAGGATTAGCAACACACTCTGTCGCTACAGTTCAGATCTACTTTCAATATCCTGATGTTCCGATGATTTTTAAGAATGGTCTTTTTGCGAAAAAACCTCTATTGTCCTAGATTTTTTGCGCATGTGCACAGTCTAACAAGCGGGTGCGTAACGTGTAGGTTATCCGATTCCAAGCTGTGCAAAAGTTAATATTGTAAAACATAACACTAGGTTTAATTTCCGCTTAACACTGCTCCCAGTATGCTTGCGCAAATTTTCATGTTACGTTATGAATATTCGGGAGATTATCGACACAGAGCGTAAAGGATGAACGACGAACAGCAGTTCCGTTAGTGGAAGTTGTTCAGAGATGTAACAGTAGCGTGTGCTGATATCATTAACTAGTGGCATACGCAAACAAATGCAATACGCCGTATTGACGTATGCAAATGGCCCATTGTTTTGCTTCTGGAGGTAAATGTAGCTTCACCATGCGCACGTTTTGTTGAACTCTCCTTTTGCTAGTAATGGTAAGAGTAGAGGAAAGGACGAGTTGCTATTTTGTTAGCAATGCAGAAAAATCATACTTGCAATTCGTGTACCGATGCAAATAAGTTTTCTATAACTCAGAAACAAAAATTATTATTTTTCAAATATTGCTAATCTTGCGATTTTTAAAATTTATTTTTATTTATTTATGTTAAACTTTTACTCATTTTTCAACTATTTATAGTTAAAATGACGGTAAAGGATTCTTGAACTCAAGAAAACGTGCTCAGATAATCTTTTCCTCCCTTCGTCACATACAGTTTTTACTCTTTTTTTTTTTTTTGACTGAATAAATCTAAATCTATATGAAAAAGAAACGCGAACCAACAAGATGTGTCATCTTGGAAACTTGGTGATAGCAGCTCGCATCGATATAATTTCTAAAAAGCATCCGTTAATTGACGCCTTACAAGGGATACATTATGCAAAACACTCTTATCGCATACATTGTTAAATGACCACTTTGTTGCCTCTTTAGCTACATTAACGGTGTATACTATCTAATTTCACGCTGTGAAAACCCTTCCTAATTAAAATGTTTAAGTAACGTAAATTATTCCCGAACTGGAGTATTAATTTTTAATGTACTTTTTAATACGTTTGTTAACAATGAATGTAAACGAAATGCAACAATTATTGTGTTTTGATGTCAAATGATCGACAGAGAAATTGCTGTTACTAGTTTATAATGAGAGTAAGCGTTGACCAATGAGAACTTTCGTATTTATAATAGTCATTGTTAATCATTTCATAAAATTGCGCAGTAAGCTTCTTCTTTCACGTTATGTTTACTATTGTGTTAAGTTTCATGTGAGTGTTTTCAATACTTCGCTCGTTCTTTCGTCTGTTTGTTCGTTCATTCAAACATTGTGAAATGCTTCGAGTCAGCTGAAATGACATTTATTACTTGTTTTTCAAACTTTATTTTCAAATTACAATGTTTCACTTAAATGTTCCGATCGAACGATTTTCGTTTATGCCGATTTCAAAAGGTATTCCTTACGATGTTTGTGTTTTCCCTAGCAAACGGCTTCTTATCAGAGCGTGGAAGAGTGAAATGTTGAATTCTTACGTTGCACAACGTTCCGTTGGACGAGGAGGGATCCAAGGGCATGCTGCAGAGTGTGGACCGGATGACCACGTTGCTATTAAACGCCGCCTCACAGGCCTCGTTGCTGATTATCCGAGTCTTCACCCAGCGCAGCCTCGACTGCACGGAACTGTGTTCTGAGAACACGTGACAGACAGTTTAACCTTCTGTGGTCAGAGTATGGTGGCCTCATTTTTATAAAATGTGGCGAAGTAACCGAATTATAACTTAAAAAATACGGTCATTAGGGCACGGAGGAAATGCATAGTAATGACCAGCTGAGTTTAGCTCACAGATAACATAGCCGCAGTCTCTGTAGCGCCTGTTACCGGGATTTTCGAGAGTTCAAGTCCCGACGGTGGATACTTTTCGTTACAAGTTACGGGGCTAGATCGAATTGAGACGGTGTCAGGAGGAGAATTCTAGCAACCGGTTGCTGTGGTCAGTAGTTTTCCTGGTTGCTTTGTTCGACGCCAGGTGAATGTCGGAAAAGTACCTTAATACTGCACCAAAGATCGCGCTCTGTATCTCCTTGCTCTTCCTTGTTCTATGCTTTGCACTTGCTCATACACACTCACACTCAAATGCAATACACTACCACACATGTCGAGAGACTAGTTTGAAGGTTATACTTGCCCCGGCTGTGCCGTGCCCTGTTTGGGGAGATACCTGGAGGTGAAATCCCCCGCAAACCGACACGGAGGTCGCCGCCGTGTCTCACAATCTATTGGGGAGGAACAGCGGTACCTCTCTGTTCTCTTCATAAAAAGGATGCCGATTTATTCATTAGTGTTTTCGGGTACGTCGGCTGCTGCGGTCATAAGTCCCGTGAGTGACGTGCAGGTGTCTCCCACCAGTGGGGAATCGCCCCAGCTGGGAGAAGCTCTGATCTTCCCTACTGGTCTCCCGACATGCGTGGCAGTGTGGTGCATGTAAATGTGTCTGTAAGTAAGGTGTGCGGAAAGGTCAAGGAAGGGGAAGGAAAGGTCACGCACGGTCCGTGGATCTTTTGGTAGAATACTTCTCTGGCGTTCACCCGGGATTGTTTGAAGAAACCGCAGAAACCTCTCGATCAGAACAGCCGGCCGCTAGAATTACCCTCCAGACGGTTGCATTCAACCTAGCTATGTAGCAAAAGTCGAAAATTCTGCCACCGTTGCGATTCAAACCAAAGGACCTCCGGGTCAGAGGGTGCAGTGCGGTGCCGTCAGTTGATGTGGCGCACGCGCTTACCGTCGCCGGTGAGTCCCCATCCGCTGACGTCGCCGATGACACCGTCCAGTGCGGAGGTGCCGCAGCCGCTTCGCTCGAGCTCCACGGGCCGCAGGCAGTCTGCGCAGGCGCGGGGCCAGTGTCACAGAAATTACACATCACAATTACACAAATCACATTTCGCACACACCCAAAAGGCGTGTGCAAGGGGCCATGTCCCCTGAAAATGTTTAAAGGACGACTTAAATATTCACACATCACAATCACACAAATCACATTTCGCACACAAAAGTCGTGTGCAAGGGCGCCGAAGCTCACTGAAAATTTTTAAAGGACGCTATAAACTTTCAATCCCTATTTATCCCCTTCTTTAACCTGGCAGTTTTGCGAATTGTTATTCAGTATTAATGGAAGAATGTCCAAACTACGGTGCTAATACTCTAAATAGTTCAACAGTAGTTTGTAATTGTATATTGATTTTATTTGTCATTGAAGTTATGATTTCATTTTCCTTGTACTTTGTTATTTAAAGTAATATTTAAAACAAATCAAAATATTTATTTACTAGTAAAATATCTCCGATTAGATTGGAGGTGAGAATATCCGTAACAAGATGTTCATTTAGCAAATTTGAACACGTAAGAATTGTTATTGATGCAATGTACAGTGTAAAATGCCACTCATTAAATAGACACCTATTTTATTTGAGAAAGGTCTGCAATGCAAAAAAATTAATGGTTATGTTTTAGTTACATTTTTCTGCTTTCTTCCTTATGACTATATTAGAAAGTTTTTAATTAAATCTTATATCAAGTAGGTATCTCTTAATATTAGTACTATTTTTGTACCTTCGTGCTATATGTTCTGTTCTTCTCTGGTTGGGAATGTTTTTATTTATAGGATGACTACTAATGCCGTGTCCTGCTAACATTTGAGTTACAATTCTTTCTGCATTACGGCTGTAATGTTATATTAGTGTGTACTGAAACCATTATATTGGTTCAAGTGTGATGTCTATTATGATATTTATTATGCCAAGTAACAGATTTTGACATTTTTGTCGAATATTCTTCCTTTTTAGTTTTGCATCGAACGTTCTGCATTGAACATTTTCTTAGGTGGATTATTCTATCGCTGGGCATTGTGAAGTGAACATTTTATACTCGAAGTGGTTAGATAATATTTCGGAAACCCTTTGTTACCATCAAGCCTGAAATACCAGTCATTTTCAGTCGATAGCTATTACATGTTCCAAAAAGCGAAACAACAACTTTCTACCAATATTTGCTACTTCTCGAGCACTTAAAATGTTTGTATTTCTTATTTTGAAACAACAGAAATATTATTACCACCATAAAGGTAATTGTGAAATTTTCTCAGTAACAGCGACAATTAAATCCCTGAAAACTTTGTTCTAAAAACTGAGAAAAATAATGATTTTATTTATTTTTATTAGTAGTAAAAAAAGAGTGAATTGAAATAAGTTATACATTTAATTCAAATTTTTAACGCAAATTAATCATCGCGTTAATGTTCGATAGGTACCGAATAAATAACACGCTAATGCTATTTCACTTACGTCACTTACGTTAATTTTGAACATTTTTTTAATTTGTGCTTTGCTGTTTCACATCATATTTGCCTCAAAAGTTCATCAGTAGGCAGTATTCGAGCCAGAACACTACACTTTCGATGGAACGCGTGTTCCCTGGCTAGTGCCGTTGTGTAGCGCATGGGATCTCACCGGAGGTGGGGATGTCGCGCCCGAGGTCGAGCAGTGCGATGTCGTAGTTGAGCACGTCTGGATCGTAGGCGCCGTGGATGAAGATGCGCTCCACCTTGATCTGGTGGGGCGCGCGCGCCCACTCGTAGTGGCCCAAGTGCACAATGATGGTCGTCGCCCTGCGCAGACAATTAATTACCTTATTTCGAAAGTGACAAACCCCCAGGAAGGGAAATTATTGAGTGATAGATTGGTGATTCTGGGCGCGTCAACTGCTAAGGTCTTTAGTCCCATAAGTGTAGTGTATATTTTCGTCGGGAGGTGGCTATGATCTTCCCTTTCTGGATGGTGAGATCTGGTGCCGACCTACCTTCAGCTAGCGGGGTTTTCCCCAAACAGGTATCTTCCACCACTGCGGACCGCTCAGCCAAGAGAAGCTCAATGCTCCCGACTGGTCTCCCGGCATGACTGATAGTACATGTTAGTGAAAGTTTTTGAAAGTAAGCGGTTGAGGATAAGACAAGGAAGGGATAGGCCCGTTTGTTAGGATACTGCTCGCCTCGTAATGATCGGAGAAACAACGGAAACTACTGATCAGAGCAGCCGACCGGTAGAATTCTCCTCCAGACAGCGGCTGGACACGACCTAGCAATGTAGCTAGTGCCAAAATCCTATCACCGTCGGGATTAGAACCTGGGAACTCTACAGTAACATCAGTTGATGCCCTGAGCCACCCCTCCCGGTGGAGAAATTATTGCATGTACACGGCTCGGTGTTTGTCTGTGTGATATTAATGAGTTACGTAGAATGTTTCTCATGTATGGTTTCCTTTTTGTCAGAGAATGTCCGTGAGTGCAGATATTGATAATTGTAGATTATTTTATTTCTGAAACCTATTAGATAACGCTTGGAGTAATGTGGATATTGGAGATATTGTAAATGTTATTGAATAAATATAACATACAAATTAATATGATTAAATATAATTATATAAATGTTATTGAATTGAATGCATTATTTATTAATGATAATATTGTTTTCTGTTTCTCAAGTAAAGAGACATAAAAAGAACTTTTCATTGAGGAAAACGTCGAACTATCAAGGGAAGTGATGGGAGGCTAGCATCTCGGTACAGAAGGTGGGTGAACGTGGTGGATGGGGGATGGGGGATGGGGTGACGAATGCGCTTACGTGATGACGCAGTGCGCGGCGGTGAGCACCCAGCGAGTGTTGATGAGCGAGCCCCCGCAGAACTCTCCTCTGTTGGTGAGCATGGCGATCTGGTGCGGGAACTGGCAGGGCGCGGCCTCCGCGCCGTCCACGATGCGCTGCGTCCCAGGAGAGTGTCCGGCCTCTTTCTCGCCCCTGCGCCGCGCTGCGCACACATACTGAGGCGTCACACGGGTGTAATCGAACACACACGAGAGTGGTTTGTAAAACAGTAGATTTATTCACAATCTAGACCGTAGTCTCGATTTAACAACTACCCTGCTCACAATGAACTAAATAAATAGACCCACAAAAGAGGTATAATTTACGAACGGCTACCACACCACAACATACCACTGATGTTCCCTGTGTGAAGCCGCTCTACTTTGAGACCATCTACGCGTCACGCAAGTCACGGCAATGAATTGCCGGCCCCTCGCCCTAGTGCACCTACACGCACAGACACGTGCTTCACCTATCGCCGACGCCACTAGAACAAGACTGGAGCATTGTGTTCCTGGCCTTTATATAGGCCCTTTTGGCTCTACCCGCCGCCCTCATTGTCTCCTCCCCAAAGCCGCTCTGGGACCGCTACGTCCACGGAAAGTCCCAGTGCGTCATCACTCCACCCTTTGTTTAACATCCGGCGATGCTTCGCCGATTTCCACGTGGTTGTCTGTTTCGAGCGTAGCACGACGCAGTACACACGCATAGTCCTCAAGCATACAATACACACGCATAGTCCTCAAACTCGCAATACTTTCACAGTCTGTTATTTTCATTTTCTCGCTACCGCTTACGCAGTGGAGAGAAAGTTTTTTAATGCTGCGCGAAAAAAACGGCGAATTTTCGGTAGAAAAACTTTTATTGCCAAGCCTTGGAATCAAAAAACTGGAGTAATACTGTTGTTAAATTTAGAAAAAAATCCTCTAAAACGTGGTGTAGCCAGAATCCGTGTTTCGTGCGCTCTTGATACCGAAAAATGGATTGACAGCAAAACGTCTGTCCATCTCTGAAAAAATCAACCTGCTAAACCGTTCAGCCGATTTTCTCCAAAATTGATATTCCCCAATCGATTTGGCTGATGTCGCGGCCCCTCGAATTTGAAACGTATTTTAATTTTTGGGGGTACTATACATCAAACCCTTAAGACATTTTCAAAATTGTTCAAAAAACGGCTTCATCGTTTTTTGTTAATTATTTTGTTGGTTACTAAAAATAACGTTTAAGAGAATGGTGCAGGTCTCATGTTCGTTAAAAACTTTAGATTTTCGAAAATTCCAAAAATACATATTTTTATCGGCGTCATCCTACCACTACATTTATGTAGATGGAGATTTTCGTTCTTAATGAAATCTGTTCCTTTAAGATTGATTTTGAAAAAATGTCAGGTACAATTGTTCGAAAATTCGAGTACTTTTTGTGTAATTTTGCGTGAAAGTACGGGCGAGAAAGTTCGTGCTATTTTTATCACCACTAGTTCCTTTATCAAATAGATACATGTAGACGGAGTAATACACGTGGCATAGTGAAAGTTATGTTATGCTGCGGAAAATCAATTTCGAGATTTCAACAGAAATACATCTTTGAGGTCCCGTGGTGCCGAAAAAGGTTTTTTTTTTCAAACCGTCTGTCCCTCCGTGTGTCTGTGCGTATAAACCACTAGGTCCTAAGTAGAATATTTTCCATGATTGATTTGGACCGGCAAGGAGCCCTGCGATTTGGAAATTGATTCTTTGAATTTTAGGGGTACTTTACATGACCTTGAAAAATGTTCACAATTTTCTCACAAATGACACGTAGTTTTTTTAATATTTTGATTGTGGTTTTAGTATACTTCGATTAGTATGGTTGTATGGCTTCTATTGAGGAACTGGGAAGATACGTTAGCGCACGGTCCGTGGGCTGTTGTATAAGAGGCTATTCAAACATTAATACATATCCCTGGGAGGTTCAGAGAAAGCACTGATCAGAGCAGAAGGGCTACAAATTTAAGTATGGTGGGCACCTAAACAAGAGAAAATTCCCGTGACCGTGCTGGAATCGAACCCCGACCTCGCAGTAACTTTCCCTTTATTCTCGTCACTGCCGGTGTTCGTTTGAAATTAGTAGAGTAGCGAAATTTGCATGGTCAACGGAAGAGCAGGGCCTGATGGCCCGAGTCTCGCCACGTAAAATAAGGCAAATTCAATCAATTCAATTCAATTCGTTCAAACTCCTAAATCTTAGAATTTCTCGAATATTTTTGATATATTTTTCATGGTGGATGTGGGTCACTGTGTACATAATTTTCTCAGTCTTGAGTTTAATAGTAATACATTCAGTATAATATCGGACATATGTAGATAATTAATTTTCATGAAGGAGAGGGAGTACTAGTTCTCACTATATTCTATGTTGTTTCAAGAATAGACAGCAAATGGCGAGAGATAATTAATTCACTCATTCCAAATGGTAGTTTCATGTAAATGGTGCGGTTTGTAGTAAACGGTATATGACGCGCATTTTCCTAGGAGGCATGCCACATATCATTGCTTACACTAGTGTGCCTAATTTCTGAGCGAACACTAGAGAGGTCTGCCCCTTTGTTTCTTCCCCTTTCTTAAGAGAGTGAACGCAATGGCGGTTTACCATTGCTTTTCCTTTTTAAATGATAGTGAGGTGAACCGAGGAGCGAATGGTGACGAGAGATGAATGATTGTGCATGGGTAGTCGTCCAGTTGAAATGCATGGTGATATGAGACGCCACAATGTAACACAATTTAGGGAAGCTAATTATCATAGATATTAGGAGACGAATTTGTGCTGTGTAGACAAATAGGAAATGTCCATGAATTTTGAGTATTAGATTAAAAATATATGACCATTAAAACTCAAATACGACTTAATCAGTGAAGAGACCCGTGGAACTATCGTAACTTGAAATAAATCTTCAATGAAAAGTTTTATATAGTGCAATATTAAATGCACAATTTTTAATAGAATTGCCGAAAAAACTCTCTACGCGTATTAAATTTGCTTTCCAAAGCATGTTTTCGCGTAGAGCACTGGGAGGGAATTCAGTACTGATTTGAAACTTTATATTTTATTAAAACTAATTACATCTATATTCATAGAAAAAACATTTATATGAATCAGAGTTCTAACAATTCAAGTATATGTCGCTCCTCTGTTAAATTGTGTTTTAAGATGAGTTGAAAATTATGATAATTCATTAAAAATCGTCACCTACAGGCACCGAAATGGAGATATTTAAAAAAATCTTAGAACAATTGAGAAAAATGGAGATTTTTAAAACATGTATTGTTCTCAGAATCATTAAAATTTGGTGGATTAGATTGGTACGTTATCGAATCTTTTTATATTATCATAAATAAACGATTATACCTGGATATTTTGGTAGGATTGCAGGATCCAAATGTTCCATTACCTATTTCATTCGACAGTGTTGGATCTTATTTGTCTCGCATCTCTACTCACCTGGCACGACGATACTGTCATTCTTCAGCTGCCTCATTCGAAAGGGGAGGTCCTTGTTGAAGGCGGATGACACCTACATAAATAAGTATTAATATAAATAAATAAATATAAATAATGAAAATAAATTCATCTACTAAATAAATGTGACTTTTCAGTTATAAAATTAAAACAACTAATATAGTCATGTAATTCTAAAAGAAGAATAACAGCATATTAAATGAATTTAATAAGAAAATAATATTGTTCAATATTGCAATTGAAAAAAAATGGAATACATAGTTTATGCGAATCGTAAGCTTTGACTTTTATTTCTTGCCAAGATGCGCCTTTTTTTATTTAAGGTCGCATCAACTTCTAGGCCATTAGCGACCACTATTGCTTGTAACGGTATGGTAACTGTGAGGATGACACGATATGATGATGATAATGATGATGATGATAGGGGTGTGTATGAAAGGACGAACACAATACAACCATGCCCGATGCGGGACTCGTGGCATTAGAATCTTAGCGATCTCAGCCACCGGATCGGCGAAGACATCGTTGCACACGGTGAAAAAATTTATCTTACGCGGTGTCCTTGCATGATGCCTCTTAAGTTCAGTAGCGCGGTCTCACAGACAAGCTTCAGGTAACAACGTGACCAGTTAATTTTTGGGTTATTTGCTGTAAGGTGTTTGCGTATACCGAATTGCTTTAAAAATTGAGTGCGACGCAATCGATAGTTCAATTTATGAGGGCAAGTAGTTGCAGAAAATATTAGACATTAATTCAGCGTAATTCCGTGAAGTGAATAATTTCCCCAAAACTAACTACGTTCAGCCTTTTAAAGATGGCGAGCCAAGTTCCATTGCAAACAACTATTTAATGGAGTTTTGGTGGAATGGTGTTTTGGAGGACAGTCACTCCGTTCCTAACACAATCTAAGCTCAAATTCAAAATTACTCAAATACCTAAATGAAGTTAAATTTCCTATTTTACTGTGTTTGACAGTGACTGTAAATCAATTTGTTATCAATAATCTTACTTGTATGGTACGTTAATCCACATCAAGATGTTTACTGCAAATTTAACTTCCCCTTCAGACTTTCATTTGCTGGTAGTGATTATAAAAACAACAGTTAATCGATTGTAGCGTGAGTTAATGGTTTTCACTTAGTATTGACACGCTTGTTACGACAATATGTACGTGCATAAATAATCATTAATTTTTCTAATATGTTCTTTATGGCAAATACATACGCCCATACGTATTAGGAACACGTAATTTCCAAGAAAATGGGCCCTATATTTCAAATTGGCAAATGTGTTTTATAAATGAAAGCTAGAAAATATTCTCAACTGAGAGAAGTTCAATAACTGAAATTCTATGTTACGTGTGGACATAAAGTATTAGTGCAAACGTTAACCAGTCGTGTTTTTTTATCTGATACGGTTAATTATATAATGCTAAAACTTTACTAATGTATAAACATTGTTCGTATCCTATGACACGCATTCGATATTCAAAATTCAAATGTCATGAACAGAATGTTTTCTGATTGATTTGTAGAATCGGGAGCGTCATGAGTATGTCCAAGCAAAACGTATTTAAGAGCGTGAACTAGTTTACGCGCTTTCAAAGCGGTGTGCTGTGAAGTACATCGACGCCCATGTATGTTTATGCCAACGGATATTAATTGTTTAAGAGAAAACCACTTCTCACTCATAACGGGAACACATTTTCAGCGACTGGACCATAACTCATTTTGGAGATGTTTGCCATTAATTTCGACCTAGCCCGGGCTACCGAGCGATTGGGGGCAAAATCGCCTTAGCATGCATAAAAGCGATGAACGAGTAAACAAACAAAAAGCTGCCTTCTATCAGCCGACGGCATAGTGTGGTCAAAGCAAACAAGATGAAGAAAACCCGAACAGCTTGTTTGGCTGAGGCTCTGGGTAAAGCGGCTTCTATCAATGCAGGGAATCAGGAGGCAACCCGAGGGGAAACAAACCAGCTTCCAGAAAAATTGCCTGGAAGAACTATGTGCTACCCGACGAGTTGGACTTCAGGGCGTTGAAGGTGATGCTAAGATTCTTGGAGGCGGCGAGAGAGATTTTGCGGTATCGTGGTCCAAAGAGTAGAGTGGATTGAGCGTAGTGAGCGTAGTGAGAATTGTTCTCATTTGATTCCATTCTCAATATCCTATTATTTGCTGTTGATATTTCGCTTTGTGAGGTGACTCATACCGTTCGTTGATGTCACTGCAGTGCCTCTGACCGCGAGGTCCTAGGGTTCGAGTAGGACGGTGGCACGATTTTCAACACTACCTACATACGCCGTACTAAGTCGAATTCAGCCGCTGACTGCAGCAGAATTCTAGTGACCGGCTGCGCTGCTCGGTAGTTTTCCATGGTTTCTCCGATCAACACCAGGCGAATTCTAGAGCAGGACCCCAACAACCGGGGGACGGACCCCGCGCGAACGTTCCTTCCTCTTTCCTACTTACTTTTACTTTGCTTCCTTCTACCCTCTTCCTTCCTACCCTCCCCCTTACTTACACTTACATGCATCTCACTATCACAAGTGTCGGGAGACCAGTCGGTCTTAGATCTTGTCCCGGCTGGGGCGGTGCCCCGCTGGTGGGAGATACCTGGTTGGGGAAAACTCCGCAAGCCGATGGGTAGGTTGGCGCCGGATCGCTCCACCCAGCTGGGGAAGACCACTGCCTCTTCCCGTGACAAAACATACATTTACGGGACTAATGGTCTTAGTATTTTACGCGCCCGGAATCACTAATCAATAAACAATTAGCCTTATGCTGGTCATTTAAGTTCCTATCGTAATCAGATTTGAAGAGGCCTCGGAAGAACTTGTTAACTCACATTTCATTAATTTTGAGAAAACATGGCTATAAAGTTCACGTAGGAAGAGATAAGTAACAAGTTGCGATATAGTTTGGACAGGTTCTTTCCAAAACATCCAAACTTAGTGAATTAACAGACCTAGTACTCAAAATTTGCTTGTTAACCCAGTTTGGATAATTTTCGAGTTAGCGTATTCATTTCATGACCTACATATTCGTATCTAATGATTAAAAAATATCTTAATCGACGAGACGTAAACAAGGGGAATATCATACATCACCAGGCAAGAGGATACGAGATCTTAAATCAAATTAAAAACGGTTTTAGGGACATTCACTTACGAAATTACTTCAATTTTTTGTCATAATTTGACAAATAAGACAAATGTTTTCCTATTCTCTAGTGTTTCTGATGATAGATCAAAAATAATGTTTCTTTTCACGCTTATTTCACAAAATTTCGTGTTACACAGTTATTTTTGTACTAAATGCTTTGCAATATCTTAAGCGGATAGGAAGAAACTGGTGAGAACGAATTTACGGAAACTGCATCTGAAAATACTATAATGAATGGTATAATTTATTGATTTATTTCATCACTTTCTTGGCGAAAATCATAAATTTTTGTCACTCTTGTGATAGGGTGTAATTTTTATTTCAATGTATCCTTGTGTAAGACGTTATGCCAATAAATAAATCAAATTAATTCATCATGAAGACTTATTTGGTTGTAAATTGCAAGTTAATAATAATTTGAGAGTGGTAGTTCCTGAAAGTTAGATCTTTATAACGAAAAAGGTTTACTCGAGTTTGTTACAAGATATTTGACGAAAAATAGGTTATCCCGTTTACTATCCGTTTATATTTATTTCAAATTTTAGATAGAACTTGAAACTTCCGTTTATAAAATAATAATGGTTAAGGAATATTTCCATCATGAGAAAGAACAGAATGAAAACATTGAACGTTGTATACAATTTACCTGACTAAACATGAGAATTACCTGGTTGAAATTATCTGTGTTTTTCAGTGCTACGTTATTTTCAAATGTTAAAGGATCTAAATATGCACAAATTCCGTACCACAAAGAAATTTCTTATGGTATGCGACAACCTTGGAAGTCCGCAAACGCACACAGTTAACACGAAGAGTCGTCTTACAGACCATTTCATCATAAGATAAGCTATTTTTTTTTCTTCGTAAAAAAGAAAACGGCCTTAAAACAGGCTGGGCGTCTTTATCGATGCTGTGTACGAGAAGACTAAACGGCCGGCTTGTTGAACGAACGTTTTAAACTGCCTGTATCAGAGGGGGAGATCAGTCTTCGGCCGACAGGAAAACAAACGAGGCTCTTAAAAAGCGGCTTGCGAAGGAAATAGGTCTAAAAATGCGGAAGGCTTTCGTGGAGAGAGATGGTTGTCATGGCCTCGGTCCCAGCAGCCTCTCTTCCTCTCTCCGCTCCCTCCCTCCCCTCCCCTCTCTACAACCAGATCTCTCTATGGTCGACACAAGATGGTGGCAGATCTTTACTGGGCACCGCTTGATTGAGATACACGATTAGGGAATGTTGAATACAATGCTGTACGACTTTTATGTGAATGATTTTAGACTTCATGTTCGTTACTTTTCACGTTCTTAACCTTTTATATTCTTCTGCTATCTTCTAAATAGTTGTGACTTGATTCTCTCCAAAGTGTTTGAAGATTTTCAGATAGCAAAGTAGAGACTTGCTGCTGAAGATGTTAGTTTTTTGATTCGAACTGAATTTTAACATTCCCACAAATTAGGAATGTTAAGGGCCTACTATATAAAACTAATTATTGAATTTCTTCTTCTGAGCCATCAGATGTTGGCAATCATAGTACTTTATACTTTTCATTGTACGTGTAGAAACATTCCGCACATTATAAATCATTCCTTATAAGTTAAAATGGATTTTTACGTTTCCACGTTTGTTTTTATTTCCCAACATTTCGGACCACCCATTCTGCCGAGTGAGGGTTCTCAACACAAATATAGCAGAACATTTCAAAAGGTTTCATTACGTATATTACAGCATACATTCAAAATTTTTTTCCAGTTCGGGATGTGAAATATTATGAAACGATGTAATGATGGTATTAATACATGAATGTGGAATGTTATTTTGATACAAACGAAGAACGAGCGAGTATCTTAAACTTCTGCGAGTTTATTGATACCCTTTAAATAGATCCTACAGTATTTTTATTCAACTAATTATATATATTATAAGTTCAACTTTTACATTGAGTAATTGTCGAGGAAAAATCACCTAGTGATTTAACTACTGGGGTTCCCAGGGGGCATTGATTAGAGTAAATATACAGAATCCGACTTCAAAGCAGAACACCAGTTAATTAATGATTCAATAAATGTATTTAAGACATGTCATCACAGTTTTGTATCTGTTCTTATTTGTTATGAGCTTAACAATTGTTGCAGTCCCCAGTAGGAGTTTTGAAAACGGGAGATCATGTGCGGTTTACCCCCACTTGGGTTGTCTGGGCGAAGTATACAAAATCCAACAACCATTTGAACAATGACCAATGATTACTTTGCAACTGTAAACTCCTCTGTAGTTCATGAAACACCTGTACTATATGGAAGCTATATCATTATGACTATCATCCGACCTGAAGCTCCGCACAGTAAAATCCATCGAGAGCGGAGATTGTCTCGAGGCGTATGCTCCAACAATCTATCTTCTCTTCGAGCGTCGGCCCGTCAACGAGTTGACAAGTTGCTGGGCGGTGGCGAGGAAAATTAAGGTTACGCAATGATCAACCGTGCGATTAGCGCCCTACGCGTGAGGCCAAATCGTGCTTTACTGCGATCAATTGGCATCGAAACTGAATGCGTGGAGACAGGACGTTTGGCGACAAAGTGGATGTTCCCAGAAAGAGGCCGATGGTTACGAAGAGCGAGCGGCTGACAAACACAATTTCAGCGCATGGACACTGGAAAGTTCTTTCCTACGTGGTTCAGATGTAGTTGGTTGCTCTGATCACTTAGTTACTCTGAATAGCTAGCGAATTTCCTCCTTTGTAAGCCACAGACAAACTATAAAGCTTCGATGGCTTACCTCCTCGGAGCCCATAACCACCATAGTCAGCGTGACCGCCAACATCCACATTCCCGCCGCCGTCATGGTGCTAGCCTGGCTGGTCCACTGCGGACGATGGCCTCTCTGCCTCCACCCGGGGACTCCGCGCCGCGACGCCCCCGCCGCAGCTTATAGCGCCGCCCGTGCGCGTTCCTGCCGCCGTAAATAGCTGATACGCGCGGGATCAGGCTGCCAGGGATTACACCGGGAATGATCTCTGCGGAGACGCGCACCGCGCCGCGCCGCGCCACGTCAGGCCCGCCTCGGCTATATCGCTCTCGCCCCTTCCTTTTCAGCTTCCGTCCCGTCCTCGTCCCGTCGCTCCACCCGCCAGCCTCCCCGCCAATCCTCCCGAACAATCCGCACCACCGCCACCCACTTAAACCGCCAGCCCGACCCTCACCGACCCCAACCTCCGCACCACCGACCCCCCGGCCCCCGCCCCTCCGCCCCTCGACCAACACGACCCCACCCCGCCGCTGCTCCCGACCCTCCGCCCGCCCCCGACCATCCGCCACCTTCGACCTCTCCGACCCTCCGCCCGCCCCCCGGCCCCCCCGCCGACGCACCCAAGCCCGACCCGCCCACCAGCCCACCCCGTCCCCCCGACCCGCACCCCGACCCGCCCCCCGCCCGACCCGCCGCACGGCCCGACCCTCCGGGCCCCCCCACCGCCCGACCTCGACCACCGCCCTCCGCGTCCGCTGACCCCCTACCTACGCCTCTCCGTCCCTCGCCCGACCCCCCGCCCGACCAGTGCTCAAATCGCCCTTCACCACCACCACTCACACCGCCCAAACTGCCTAACCTACCCAACCCACCAACCCAACTCAAGCCAACAATACTCGCACGCCTCCTTTCTCCCTTTCCCGGACCTTCCACACCCCCGACTGCTTCCCGTCCGTTCAATCGCTGGTGGCCTCCGGGCGGTCCTGCCACGCTGCATGCATCTTTCGGGTCTTCAAGTACAGGGATGTCCAACGGAGGGCAATAAAATAGCGCGAAAAAAGTTGTTTTAGTAGTATTTTATAACACGGATTTAGGACTCGTACTGTAAGGGCTCGAGAACCTATTGTTAGTTAAACATAAAAACTTATAATTTAAAGATTTTTTGTTTTATTTTTTAGCTTATTTAATATTAACGTAGTGAAGAAAAAAACTATGTAAAGCTGTGGCAAAACTGGCGATTTTTAAATAGGAAACGGTGTATTGTAAGTCTCTGTTAATGAAAAAGTGGGTAAATTTTGCTCCTATATGCAGAACATTATTTACACTAATTCGTTGGTAAGAATCCACGTTTTGTGGTTTCATGACTCTTAATTGAAGTGTATTTCTTACCAATAAATATTTAAATAAGGTGATGTGCAATTTCTAGAAAATTAATTGATTTTCCGTAATTATGTGAGACACATAGGTAGTTTTAAATTCTTTTTTTTTAGATTTTCTTTAAAAAAACACTCTAAAATTTTTCTTCAATTTTTTCTCAAATTGAAACTAGTCTTGTAAAAATAAAGCGGTCCCATTTTCGATGAACTCTGTCTTCGAAAATTGTGAAGAAAGTAGCATTGCTCAGTTACAATAGTCATGACAGTTGTTTTCTTAATAAATGTTCTTTAAAATAATCTTGAAACCATGCCAACGAAAATATGACTTTTTTTAAAAAAAATGGTTTGTTAAAAATTAATGTTTACATGTGAGCTGAGTGGTGTAGAAATAAAGTGAATGGCGTGCTAAAAACGTGAATTTGAATCCAATCGGGGTAAAAAATGCTGACTGGAAACAATTTTGCAGGTCCAATTAGTGTTAAAATATTGGGGAGCTGATACAAAGAATGATAAAAGGTTTGTTCTGTAAGTACTGCTAGGTTTTCTACAGAAACTCTTTCACTTTAACCAGGGCTTAGATTTCATTATTTCACTTGACTTAATGATTCTTTTTTTTACCGCTTGAGATGTACTAAATGATTATTTAACTTTTCTATGTTGTTTCATGAAAATAATTGGCATCAAAGTCAATAAAATTTAAGTAATGTCAAATAAATAACACACATTAATCACATTGGCAAAGTTGAGCGTATAGACTCAGGTTATTGTAAAACTTACGAGTCCAACTATAATTAGCTTTGATAAACAATTTTACAAACACAGCTTTACATTGAATGGCATTTTGGATAACCCTGGAGCGTCAGGTCCCCCAGGAAGCAGTGCGATGTGAGATACAAGGGGATTAGGCGACACGTAATTCCATGTCACATCACAACAGAGGTTGCTGGAGAATGGACTCGAAGGAATGTGATAGTCTGACATTCGGCTTCCAAAGATCTTTTTTCTTTCTTTATTTCTCACTGTCACACTTTATCTTCGTAATAACTATGTGCATTAACTAAGGAGATGGTAAGTGGCTCGTATGTTGCATTATGACGAGCTAGGTCCTCGAAAGGCTGTTATCTACTACTTATGAACACTCTCTTTAGAGCGATCTTTGACTGCTTAGATCCAACCCGTGTCTTACTGAAACATACGTTGTGACGGTGGATAATGTGGAATATAATGTATTATTGCTTGTTGTAAATCTTCCTCATAAATTGTTAAAAGCACCTCAATTAATGTTTCCATAGAAGATAAGATTTCATAAATAGCATTGAGTGCAATAAATCTAAATTTTTCAACATCTGCTTAGTCAATAAATTTCAGATATATACCGGTAAAGATAATTAAGTCGTAAACGAATATACTTGGAACAGTAAGCACTAAGACAGTTCAAAATGTAAAGTTCTTTTATATATACCTGTATAAAGAAGTGGTAACTCCGGTATGTTTCAGTAGGGGAGGAAAGAATTCAATTGCGTACTCTACTTGGAATGAAACTTACAATAAATTAGATTACATGTGTCGTCTTGCGCAGTGAGATATGAAAGAAAGATCAGTCGGTTAGATTTGCTTCTGTCTTCCGCCAGTCCACATTGTAAGAGTATGAACCGTGTGCCAGCTGCTCCGACCGCGACCTGCTCTCGTCTGCTCTGGCCGTCGACGCGAGTGTCTATGCGTTCATCTAGTAGCAAGAAACGCATCTAGAAAACATTGTAAAGGAGAAAATCTTCCCCAACTGCCATAATGTTCCATTAGAAAACAAATTCACTTCTGGCCACATGAGCACTGTGAGGTGTGGACCATTAACACAAGACAGGAAGAAAGACGAAGAATGTGTCCACAGAGCGATTTTCGTCGATCTGTTTCGTTTAAAAGCGCAGTTAAAAAATCGATGAAAATAAATTTCGCCATATGTCGACTAAAAATTATATACATTCCCTTTATCATTGAAGTAAGGCTTTTATTTGGTAATTTCATCCAGAAAAATAAAATTACTGATTTTCTTCCCCTCTCCTCAGAAACTGCCACTAGTATAACCATTTTAATGTCGGAAGTGATGAGATATATATGATAATGAAATAACAAAGTAACATAGGATAACACTTTGCGATCTTGTGTCTCATGAAACGTTAATCTTCCTTTAATGAACTAATATTTCACTCTCTTCAGATAACTTATGAACTTCAATTTTTTTACGCAGTAAAACTGTAATGCAGAAGACATTCAGCAAAAATTTTAATGAAAACGTATTTTATTATTTGAAATTTAAAACAAAGTGTTATTCCCAACGCGACTAAACATGTGATGAAGCACTCACTATTGAATGCACTCAAGTCGGTTCGATTTCTGGTCCGTCTGATTCCTTTCAAACTGTAAATTTCACCGAATGTTTTAGATCTATATTCAGCGTTTACAATAACACCTATTTACATTTACTCAAATCGACACTGTGCTACAAAAATATAATGAATTAAGGAAATTTTGGTGAGTAATAGTATGGCAATAGTTGAATGAGGGGTGAAGAGGAAAGCTGAAAATCCAGCGGACCATCAGATATTTTTATTGATTTACGCGGAATTCGAACAGCGGTTCCTGACATAGAAAAGTCCAACCCACCCTGACTTCTAAATATCGCCCAGACCACAAGTCTCAATAGAGAAAGCCCGGCTGGTTTTAGTTCAGAGCTCCCATTACCAATGTTTGTGTAGCGATTGATCGTGAAGACCCAGAGTTCGAATCCTGGTGGTGGTGTATTATGTGCATTAGCTATATAGCTAGTCGAATTCAGTCACTATCTGGAGGAGAATTCTATCAGGCGACGACTCTGATCAAGCATTTTCCATGATGTCTCCGACCAATATCGGAATAACACCCTAACCAACGGATCACACGATCTCTCCTTTTTCTTTCTTGTTATATCCTCCATCCGTACACATACACACACTTAAACATACACTTACAAATCCAGAGACATGTAACACTCGCTACACTATCACACATGTTTAGAGACCTTCACACATATGGGGATAACCCCTGCAAGGCGACTTGTAGGAAGGTCGAATCTCACTAACCATCCGGGAATACCTTTCCAAATACCTTTCCATTCACGACGCCAACAGGGCTAATATACGTAGCTCTTGTCGTGGTCAGAAACAATCAATCTCAACGGAGCAAATGGGTTACGCGACACTTAACGTCTACTTAGCCTCACCTGCCAGGCGCAAAGCTACCACGCGAAGGTACTTGCGGTTATCGCTTCGGCCGCCGTCGCCTCCGCAGCGGTCGGCCCCGCCCCTTTCTGCGACGCCCCGCCCACAACACACGCGTCGTTCCACGACCCGCAATCGCTTGATTTACAAGCGCCTATCTTGCAACCCGATTCCTCACCTGCAGATACATTGTGAGCACGTGCTAATCACTGTTCTTCTCCCCCTTTTTTCTTCTACTTCTTTCCTTCTTTCCATCGTCAACATCTCCCTCATCGTCCACTTCATTTCTCCCTTCATCAATCTCCTCATTACCAATCTTATCATTTTATGTTCTTTGTAGAAGACCGCTGATCTCATTCATATGTAATCACGTCATCTTAATGTCGATCGTTCTAATTTGTCTTGTAGGATCTACATGTCATAAAATTCCAACAAATGTTTTATAGACCCTCTGATTACATTCCCTCATTTCACAACTTATCTAGGAAAGTTTTCTTCGTTATTTTTCGTAAGGAGTATTTAGCCGATTCATGTAATTCAAGTAGTACACATTTTCATCCGTTTCTATTTTATGTATACCCTAATATTGGTCTTATTTATCGTCCGGTGTATTTATTTTTGCTTTCTAGACCTTTCAAATGTGTGGAGAGAATGTATTGTAATCGTGCGTCGGAAAACAGCGAATCTTCGACCGGAACACTCTTATTGTCGGACTCTGCTAGGTGATAAATACTGTTCCTATTTATAATAAATCACTTGCTCTGACACGTGGTGTAGCCAGAATCCATGTTTTGTGGGTGTTTTCCTTGATCCTGAAAATCAATTGACGACAAAACGTATCTTGCCCGTTTGCTCGAGTACTGTCAACGTCAGCGCTTAAACCTTTCTGTCGATTTTCTCCAAAACTGATATTACCCGTCCGGTCTCAATGAACTCAACTCGTTGGGATTTTATTACGGATATTTTGATTATTGAGGCTACTTTACAAGAAGCCTCAAAAACATGTTCAAAATTTTCTCAAAAATTGCTCGAAATAATTTTATTATGCTTTGTCCTCGGATAGCGTGAAGAATGTTTAAGAGAACGGTGCAGATTTCACGTTCGTTGATATTCATGATTTTTCGAAAATTCCAAAAGTGCAATTTTTTGGACGTCTTTTTATATATCCAATACTGAAGATAAAGAGTTTTTCCTTATTAAAATCTGTTCTCTAAAGACATCTTGAAATAAGGTCATATTCAATTTTTTGAAAATGAATAATTTTCAGGAAATGTGTGAAATATAGACAATTTAATTTTTTAAAACTATTTCTCCTCAAAAAACAGCTTCAAATGTTTTCTTCTATTATTTTTTCATGAATACAAGGAAGGGTGATTAAAAGAATGGCGTGGGTGTCATATTGGTTGTACTCTCTGAACTTTCGAAAATTGCCAATTTAGAAATATTGCGAGATAATACGTGCTGTTGTAGCACTCCTGATTCATTTCTCTGACGGAGTTATCACCTGAGTAATTCAGATAGTTAATGAATATATTTTCTTTTATTATTTTCTTGTATTTCCCTTTCTGGTATCTCTTTACTTGTAAGTTCTCATTTTCGAAGGGTGTTTTTGTGAACATGATACTTTCCGTTTTGATTTGTTTCCTTTCATTAATAGATATCGATGTCAAACTTAGTTTTTAACTTCTTAGCGACAGGAGTTACTAATTAGTATTAGCCCTGGAGAGTCACAGATAATCATGACTAATTAGTGTACACGTTGTGATGATATAATGAGTTGTTTAGGAAAAGTATAACTAAACGTATTAGCAAAGAAGATGGAATTGAGAGTGGTATCATGCCGTCAAGGCAAGGGTGGATTCAGGCGATTATTTTTGGGGGGTATCATAGGTTTTTTTTAAAAATAATAAACATATAGTACATTATTTTATAGGGTGTGTGATATTATGAAATATTATTTAAATACATAATTCTAACATAAATATTTGAATTAATTTTGCCTAATAAAGGCAGGCAACAAAGGAAAACTTTCGGCATTTTGGGTGGGGAAGCATGGGCTACATGCCCCCTCCCCACGGATCCCCACTGCGTCAAGGGCAGGAAAGCGCGAGATGCCTCACCCCCTCCACAGGGTGAGCCGTCTCTCCGGGGACGGCGGGGCGGCCGTCCCCGCGGCGCGAGGCCTGGAATTCCGACCGTACGACGAGGAAGGTCGGAGGGTAATAAATACTCCAGTGTTAAACGCCGTCCGTTAGGTAGCTTCCTACCTCTGCCCTGTGAATCACTACCTCCCAAGTCACCCTGGACATTTTACCAGGCGTTTAATTCTTCAGGACCGTGTTGTTTCTAAAGATGACGATTTGACCAGAATTGACAGAAGAAATTGTAAATACTATTTGTAAATAATCTTGGCGCGTTCAAACAAACAATGCAATTTGCATATTACATGCCAACCCTGCTTTTGATTGAACACAAGATAATACGTTTTATTCAACTATATCTCGATTGTTTTTTTTTTGTTCATTTTCTCAGAGATTCTATAAGCGAATGCTTCACATGTTTCTGTACTTTTTCATATGCTTCACATGTTCTCTTACCTTACTCACTCAATCGTTATATGCAATTTAAATTCCGAATTGCTGTAAAATACTATCATGATTAACTTAATTTACAATTGGAAAACGGAAAGGAAGAAATTATTGAAAACATTGCCCTTAACATACATGTTTTACGCATTTTAAGTCATAAAATGCATGTTTGTGCCAATATTGATTTATAACTTGAAAATGTATTACTATTATTATTAAATTTCAGATTCCTAATATTTATAATTTGAATAAATATTACGATTCCTTGTGTTGCAGATTTGCGAGACACTGAATACATCCATATAAATCGCTGTCATCAAAGTGCAGGTGAGTTTTTTTGAAATAAACTCATTATTAATCGTTTTCGTAATACTTTTAAAAATCTGCATTGTGCAGGTTTCGTCTTTTGTCTTGCTTCTTGGTAAGACCAAGTGCTAAATTTAGTTCTCTTGTCGTATTTTATATTTTGTATGCTATTCTTTCAAAATACTTGTCTTGCCAGTAATAACAAATGGGTATTTCTTAAATTCTCTAATCTTCTAGGCATAATTAGTTTCAAAATTCAGAAGGTAGATTTATTGTACTGAAACCATTTTAAAACTTCGAAAATAGATTGTTGAGTAAAGATGACTCATTCCATTGATTGGCAGGAAGTTTACAAAATACTGACAGTAAAGATAAATACGGATATTTTTCCCATTTTACTTTCAATTGTGTCATTATGGTGAACCCATCCGAATTACATTGCAGCAGACTTTGTAATATAGAGAAAGTCATTTTGAAAAATAATTTATCAGACTGACTTAAAATAGAACTGCGAGTGTGCTGATTTTTCTGAAATATATTGTTTTGAGTATTTCCTACACTTGTTTTGAAATATATTGAACAAAATCTCATGTGATCTGAGTCGGTCGTGAGAGCCTTACTTCTGGAAACTGGTTTATAGTTGCTATTAAGTTTTAACGTACTGTCTACGTCTGATGGAAGGTCAAGACAAACCACTTTTTCATTTCTCAATATATTCCATCAACATACTCTTATATAAATCGGTACAAAATTCGCCTTGACCAATTCTCTCTAAACGAAAAAGGTATTAAAGATAAAGGAAATTCGTGTTTACACCTGTAATTTGCGTTTTGTCATTACTTATGTATCTATTCAATTGCATACAGTATCTTATTTAAAAAGAAAAAAGTTGAAAGTTGCTAAAATAATCCAAATCATTAACGAGATGTGTTTAATTCATTCTACAATTGTTTACCAGCTTTGCCAGTTTAGCCAGTCTTGTTATTCAGTCTTCGAATCTTCTTGTTCTTGCTTGTTTAATTTGGGTTGATGGCCTTGGGACTGCACTCTAGACAAACTCGGTGAGATACAGTTATCGCCGGTAGTGAAGTAGTAAATGAAGGCCAAGAATAAAAATTTCGAAACAAAAGAGAATTTTGTTTGAATGTAATAAAAACTATTTTTTGTAGCTTTGAGATCATTTTAAGGAAATAAACATGGACTTCCAGGACTTTAGGGGACTTCGGTACTGAATTTTGTTTTCTTAAGACATCTTGAGTGACTCACGCCGACACTTCTTACAAATTTTGCTCCTTTTAGTGTTTTGGTACTTTAAAAGAAAAGTTTTATAACAGCGCAAAATTTTCAAATGTTTACCTTGATTATGACCATTTTCTTCGCAAATTGTTCGAAATTCGAAAGCGTGTGTGTGCCCGCTATTGTTTGCGGTAAGTGCTCAAACAATAACAGTCATGGCACTGAAAAATCACAATTTGCGTGCAAATAATGATTCGTTGTCGAGTCTGGAGATTATCATTGGTAATACTACGCGTGATTTGGAAATTGTAGATAAATCCTCCACTCGCGAAGCGAGGAAGAGATTTATCTGAGAATTTCCAAAGCACGTGTAGTATTTAATAGGATTATTCCACGAACGAAATTGTGTCCAACAGAATCCCAAAAAGCGCCAAATATTGAAAATAACTGAAAGCAATGTTGAAATCAAAAAGGTTATGTTATAGTACATACGTGGTGTAATGGACATCGGCAGCATCATACAAAGGAGGCATGTATGCCGCCTTCTAAGGTAGATGAGTCACAGCTTATGATTGGTCAGTTAGAAGAAGTGTTAAGAAACATTAGATAGAAAAACATAGAAACTTTTTGAGATACACCGTCCTGATAGGGTCATTTTGTATATTTAATTAATCATTATTGGTTTTAACTTCACGAGTGGAGTACTCTTAAATATCTCTCTTCCAATATTCCACAACGGAACTGCTCACAAGAGAGAACTCTAACAAAAAAAACTCTGTTTAAGTGCTCAATTCATGCTTATGGCATTTGATAATTGCAAATGTTAATTGAACTATTTTTTCCTACATGAAAGAAAATTATCATTTGACCCTCATGTTATCTGAAAATGAAAATATTCGTATCTTAATTGGGTTCGCCAAATGTCAATAAATTTATTTATTCTTGTATATCAAATGTTAACTAAGCTACTGCCGAAAGAAAATTCTGGTACTGACCACTGAAATCATGATATAGAATATTCTGAATCATCTCCCTGAAGTTAAAGAAATTTTCTCATGAATTGGTCACTGCGCCTGAGCACTGATTAATTCAACAACTTTTATCAGATATCTTGTCCTCGCTTACTATTTCTAGTGACTTGATAACACACCTTAAATGAGAATGTCCTTGTATTATGTTTGATTATTTTTTATGTGAAAACAGGACATTGGAAAGTTTCTTTTTTGACCACAATTTATAAGATGAGATATCAATAATATGCAATGGCTTACATGTTTCCGTATATCTTAATGAACTATTATGATGTAGAGGGTAGGATATTATTTTTCGCTATTCTACTCGTAGAAAAATGAAAAATATTCTTCCGTACTCTTTGATTAATTCAGTAGCGAATTGTATTTTAATTAGTTCAAAATTAAATAATCCAACGAAAAATTTTTCATATTCTCTTCGCCTTACTTGTGGGGTCAGAATTCTAACTTACCGTAGGGACTTAATGTGCCCCCTACAATAGTCATCGAATAACCGGCTTGCCTTTCATTCTTAAGGCGTATGAATGAACAAAAGAAAACCTGGATGAATGATGGATGAAGGATGAATGATCTTATATTAAATTGTCTCCATTGCACAATATTCAATTAAACATCCATACATTCTTCATGTCAAGTGTAAACAAAAATTCTGAGTTTGCGAATTCGGTTGTGTTCTTTACGTTTTTCTGTAATACAAGCACTTATGTTGGGTGGGTGACCGCCAAAACATTCCTCCTAAATATTTTAAGGAGATCTAGTAGTTTTATTTTAAAATCATTGTTTACAACAGGAAAACCCAGATGAAGCGGAAACCTGCCTTCATCTAAAAAAATCTCAAAACGAAATATTTTTCAATACACTGAATAGGCCGGTGACCTTCCTAACGCGGACAAAGGGATTTTTAGTACGACGGCATGAATAATCCTGAATAAGACGGAAAACAAATATTGTTTCAAAATTGAACATTGACATGTAAGTGTGGCGACATGCTACCATGAGACACTCAGAGCTGTGCTCGTTCAGAGTGACCCTTCCACAGTTCTTGTAGTGCGTGCTTGCGTTCAGTGGTTCTAAACGTTTACTGTCGTTCAGTTAGAAGAATTGTAGGTATTGTGTTAGTCAAGTGTTAATGTCAGACGGCAAATTGAACCCTTTAACACTTGGTGAGAAAATTAGACGAAGTGAAGAACATAAACACTCACTTCTGGCAAGGTGACAATCAATAATGAGTAGTTAAAAGAAACTTTTAAAGGTGTTTCCTACAATATTCACAAGAACCTAAGCGAATAGTCAAATCCTAAATCCTCAGATGAATTCATCCAATCCTACAAACATTGAAGAAAATAATATTTATTTTCCTTTTCACGGAGTTTTTGGGTATTAGACTTGGTAGTGCGATACTGTACCTCATTTTCTTTGACTATCCCCGGGACGTCTTCGTTTCTTTGAAACGTCTTTTGGTTAGATAAACTATTACATCTTTGAAAGATTGCATTTTCTGAATTGACCATTTTTATTGCAAATATTAATAAGCGGGAAATATGAACAATACGGAAAAAGTGTTGGCTCCAAACGATTTTACTAGACAGGTTTTTCTGTATTAATATAAACTATGTGTCTATAATAAATATGTTGGCATGCTTTGGAGCAGACGTATGATGGCGCTACCAATACGAACAGAGCAATAATTTTCTTCAGACTGAAAACATACGACGAATTATACAGATACGAATAAATAATGACATCATCTGCTTACTCAGCAAAAGTTGCTGGATCTTCTCAATCTAACAACTTAGCAGATTTAGTACAGTCAGCGACTATCACAGAACAACCGTGGTTCCAATCATCACGTTTACAAAATACGTTTGAAATGTTTGAATGATTTTAATATGATCAAACTGGTTAAGTTAGTACACTACTTTATTTACAATGTAATATTTATTTGTTCTTTTGTTGAATAGTTTTCTCAATTTGTCAGAGTACATTTCTGAATTCATGTAGAGCTGCTTCATAACTCGATACTTTTTAATCTTCTACCTGTACCGTCTTAATCCTGGAATCTGAAGATAGCGTCATGGTGACTCCACAGGCATCGTTGTCCCTACTTTGTGAGAATATAGATGTTGACGTTCTTGGAATGTTAAGAGTGTTGTTACTTTTAATATAATAAGTTTACAAGAAGGAGAGGTATATTTGTGAATGTATTTGGCGTCACACTCTACCAAGTATTGTGAAGGAATTTTGTGTCTTCACAATGAGAAATATTGATTGCAAGTTTGGCTGTCAGCCAAACCATGATTACCAGTACCATGATTAACTTAAATCATTAAAAAATATATGGCGCTAACTAAAATTCCATAAAACGTTAGCATTTAAATAATCCAACTCCACATACAGACAAATTTTACGTGTAAGAAGCGTGCATTAGTATGACATTGTATTGACATGAGATAATCCAATATTTAAAAGCTAGTGCTATAACAGCTCCCTCATTTTTGGTGAAGGTTATGTAATAAATCATACTAACACATCAGCCATAGTTTAATGTATTCTTCTCAAACCAAGCGCCAGAGTCGAAAGTCAGACTGGAGTGTAATATACTATGTTCCTATAACCCTCTCCCTAAAAATTCGCAACTAAGTGAAAACTCCAAAAACATTCATGACTGTTTTCTGTAGTTAACTAACTATGAAGAACTAGTATTTCTGTTAATAAAAAGAGCGGCCAGAGAGCAATATGCTGGTGGTATTTTCGAGGCACGGAAAAATGATAGGAAAATGAAAGATTTCTGGAAATATATTACAGAATAAAAACGCTGCAACATTTGGTTGGTCTAAGACTGCAAAGTGTTTTATGAAACAAGTGAGACAGAATTGATCGAACAGTAAATTTGAATTTGATAAAATTTAAACCTAAATCTATATTTTAAGTGTTCTGATGAGCAAATTTTTATTGGGGATGGCTTCACAATAAGTTTTTTTTTATTTCACCACAATTTTCAAATTATTTTCTCCTTTACTGCCATTTATAACATAAATCACTTTATCTCCAGGCTAACAATTTGGAATCGAATTTGTCGCAAAGCGGTCGAAAATCTTTATGCAAAAGAATATACAAATTGTGATGAGACTACATAACAATCAATGAGCTGTTGCATGGAGATAAGCGAAGCCGTGCTCGGTGGGGAGCAAGGCCGTCAGAGGTCGGTGAGCTGGCGGATCCAGGCGGCGTGCGGGGCGACGCGCTCGTAGCCTGAGGGGTAGCCGCGCTCGCAGCTCACCGACGCCACCCACGACGCCACGCCCACCTGCGCGGTCGGGCTGTCCTCCAGCACCAGCGGCCCACCCATGTCACCCTGCGGCACACCAACCACATAGCACACAGAGAACATACAGCTCTCGGGAAAACGGGGCGCTTTGGGGGAAATAGAGGGCGCTGGGGAAGAGTGAGGGCGCTGGGGAAGAGTGAGGGCGCTGGGGAAGAGTGAGGGCGCTGGGGAAGAGTAGAGGGGGCAGGAAAGCACAGTGGACGCTGGAACGAATAGAGGGCACTCGGAAGAATAGAGAGAGCTCTGGAGAAGGACGTTTATCTTGTACTTACATAATGTAACTCATAATATACCGAAAGGACCGGAAATCAGAATTTGTTCAACAAACTCTATCTCAGCATTTCACACCCCACGCTCCTGGATTGATGGTGTTAAATTAATGCTCCTACATAAGATTCTTAATCAGTTATATATGAAAGTAAAACCTTTTAGATTAAGAATCATTGTTATTAATGGCTTCAAACAAATGGCAGTAACGTTTGCGTTTACATTTCATACAGTATTACTTTTAAACTATTCTTTAAGAACGTTAGGAACATTTTTTGAGCTTATACCTTCACACGAAATCGAAGTTTACAAAATGGAAATTTGGGATGTTCCACGTGAAACCTGAACGATAATCGGGGAGTTGTTATACTCCTCTTGCTAACTGATAATTTTATATCAAAACACCTTCAGATTGCGATTTGAAACAGCTTCTATTTACGTGACATATTATAAGAAAACCGTACAAAACACATTCAACCCAACAAGCTGTCCCCTCGTTGTTTCTTATTTTATATTCGCTATTTAGGCTATCTGTTTTCACGTTTCAAAAAAAATTAATTGCCCTGGAAACGAGTATTTGCATTGACCCCATCTACACATAGAGCACTGGGGCGTCGCGTGAGATCGTATCACGAAAGTTAACATCTCCATTGGCGACACCACAAGCACTTAAGATTTGCCGTAAAACAACTGCAAAAAGAACGGAAAGGAAATATTTGCCACGCTTTATTTTCTTAAAGAAATACCGGTGATGACAATTTTCGGCGAAGGTTAGCGACGTCACCTCATTTTGGAAAAGAAACTCTCTTAAAACTGTTGGTTAAGTCGAAAAATTCAAGAAATTTATCAAACATATTTATAACTAAAAATAAAGAAAAATATGCTTCATTTAAATAAAATTGATGCAGATCTGTCATCACAAAATATTCCGTTGATTCCATCTTATTCACATTCAACGGCAAAACTGAATTCCCGAAGAGATCATGTGCAGATCGTGTCTGGTGTAATGATTCTTTACGTTCTATATATTCCAAAGAGAAGAGAATAGACCATGCCAAATCAACGACGTAACCAAAATCTAAATACAATACAATTCGCGCCCATGTGTTCTGAATGCTAAATTGATGTTTTATCTTTAGAAAAATATTTATTTGGTGGTGGTGGTTTCCTTGTGTGTATGCCTGCCAGTGTGTGCTTGCGTGAGCTTGTGTATGCTTGCGAATGGAAGTCAGGTGACTGACATCCTCTTCACATTATGAAGAGGGCCTTTACTATGACAATATGGCCGGGATTTACACAATACAATGGCCATTTTGTCGCACCTTTAAGAGTGCTACCCAGATGATCCCTAGTTGCCCTTCCGATTATTTTTGTACGTCTCCCGCAAGCTTTATTTTTCAGGCGGCATTGCCTCACGGGAATGAGAGCACGATGCTAGATAGAACCAACAGAATTGCCGTGCGCTCGACTTTTTTAATTATAAGCATGGTATTACCTGTTTGTTTTATGCAAATATACCTCTATTTCACCCCTAGGGTCACAAAAAGGATGGACTTGTGGTGTTCAAACAATTGTGTAATATAATATTTTCCAAAACGATAGTTTGTCTTAGTAACCATTCTTCACAAGGAATTACGGGCATTACAACACCTAACCTTTGTTGAAAACAGGATATTACTTTACAACAAGAATAAATAAACATATATTTCATTACAATTAAGTGACTTCAGCAAGAGTACTTTGTGAGAACGCAAAACCGCTCTAATGTGGCACTAACTCATTAGAAATTCCCTTGTTTTAAAAATGCCTCATCTTTCTGCTTTTTAACGTAATGTCACTCTAACAGCCATATCATGCCATCTAATAATAATAATAATAATAATAATAATAATAATAATAATATATCATTGTATTGAGTCAGCGATGCTCCCATTCCCCATCTGCTCCTGTTTTAGCGCAGAAGCTCTCCTAGTGCCAAAACTCACCGCGCAGAAAGTGGCGATGTCCCCGTTGGTACCGCGACCATCCGCACAAATGGTCGAATCCGTTACGACGATCAGCCCGTAGTACTGGCGACAGCTGAAGTTGTCGATGAGCGACAGCTCAGCGTAGCGCAGCTTGTTGCTCAGGGTGACGCCGTCTGCGCAGACGCGAGAACGAGCTCAGATCGTTCGAATATTTTAGTTACAAATGTGGTTGTCATCGGACTGGGTGAGGCTGCATTCCTTTCGTGTTAAATTGGGTTTCATTAGTCTTGTTCTCTCACTATTTATATTGCTGCTCTTGGATCGTTGGAATGGTAATTTGAATGCTGATGTGAAACTTCACTGCCGGTATTTATAATTTAGGTTTTCCAATGTGATGCGATTTTATTTAGTTTTCTCAAACGTATTTCCCAAAAATTGTGTATTGTTGTAATAATTGTAATGAACGGACACTTTTCAACACAGCGTAAGGTTAAGTTCATTTTTATTTAATTATGATTTTCGTTTTCGTTAAGCTTTCAATCATGTAAATACAGAAATTTCTTTTTCATTTATAGTGTAATTAAATTAAGAAATGCAATAAAACCGACATAGTTGATTAATAATCACTTCCCATTAACGCAGACTTCAAACACACGGATGGAAGTACATCGGCTTCACAGTGTTGAGACATTCCACACAACAATCACATGCTATTAAAAAATTCGTCAGACTAACGCATCGAGTATAGAAATAGAAATAGAAATTGGTTGTCGGTTGAAAGAACAATAATCGTCAATTTTTGGAGTTAAGAAAAAATGTTTTTGCTTTTGTTTCAATCTAAATGTTGAATCACTCATCCTTTGGAATGAGGTCTATTGTGTTCAGCTATTTTTAGATCTTGATATATATTTCTTAAAATAACTCAATTAATAAGCAAAGATTGCAGCAAGACATTAGAAAATTCAAATGAGAGCAATATATACAACATTAATCAGCAATACATAACGTTCATAAATTCGGCATAGAGTATTAATATTGTATTAATATTCTTCAGTATCAAGTGTCACAAAGAACACTTCTGCAATGCTGTTATGTATCCCAAAATTTGAATAACTTGAATTTATGTCAGTAGTTTAATAAACAAATTAATTAATTAAGTATTCAACGTTCTGTTTGACACAAATTACCAAAATTATTTTGCTCGTGTATTCAGTCACTTCAACGCACTATGATCATAATTATTTTACTCTTCAGTGTGACTTCAGTAAGTAACAGTAAATCATCATTCACCATCAAGTTCATCAGTAAAATTATAAACAAGACCGTGAAATATTAGGTGGGATTAAAATTAAGATTATGTGGAGACTACTTTCCACTAGTTATCTCTGGATTTTTCTCCCAGATTCTGCAATCTGGAGTCTAGACAAGTTACTTCCCTTAAGCAAACAAAAAGTTCTAATTTATATATATATATATATATATATATATATATATATATATTATAATTAGAACATACTATTTTGAATGAATACGTTAATTAATACTAGCTAGACATTCATTTTAGGAATACATCTAATTACTTTTAATTTTGGCAAAAATTACTTTTAACATCAAGAGACGTAGTCCCATACTGGGGGCCAGGGGAGTGAATGGACAAGTGTGAGTCAAAGCGATGCCCACTTCCATGGTCAACCAACAGGCCCTCCAAGCCGATAAGAGGAGTCCGGGGCGAAAGCAGGGGTTCCGCAGGGCGGCGCGAGGTGCACTCACTGTCTTGGACGAGCCCCCAGCCGGCGACGCGCGCCACGCGGCCCTCCAGCGCCTCCGGCTCCTCCAGCGCCAGCGCCACCGGCTGCACCCACTCTGCAACACCGGCGCACCATTAGGTCTCTTGGTCGGGAACATGAAGGCAAGAAAGCGTTTCAACGAAACTCTGCCCGTATTTAATTCCTTGCCGTAAAGTTGAATGTCTATTACCTTCATTATTGTTACATTACTCGTGTTGATGCAATGCTACATGTAAGTTAATCGTCATATTATATTTTAAGTTTTATTGTAGATTTTTTCTCTTAGTGAAGTAACAATCTCAGTACTTAGTGATTCGTAATAAATTGCTGGGATGTTTATGAACCACATAAAAATTAGTATGCTACCTTACTTTAGTTCATAGTTTCTCGATGTCATTATATAACATAACATTATAACATCTTTGCATATTATGGATGGTATTCCTCTTCTTACCTATGGTTGCGAGTCGGAGAACTTAATGTGGTTGAAATGTTATGAAATTAGTATTTTTTTTTAAACTTAGTATTACATCCTGCAGAGAGCCACACAATACATGGGGGAAACGTTGAAGCAACAAATTTAAAAGACTGAAATTGATTTATGTTTTTTAACCTTATTTCTATGAATTAATGTTTATTTTAATGGTACATGTATTTATTGATTATTCTTAAATTAAGGATTAAAGTAATTCAGTTCACAATCCCGAGTTGATCAAACTAATCCCGTGTGGAATGTAATATTTTTCACGAATTTTTGTGACTTAAGTAAGAAAATTAGGTGATATTAATGAAAAGCACTTAACCCTTAACGTAGTACTGTCACTTTTGGAGAAGAGTATTCGTGTATCTTCCTCCATGTTGCTCGAGCCGCAAATTCGTACAAGTTGTTGGAGCAGAGGCAAGAATACTGTCTTAAGAAAAATTTAGTTATAATTGAACATTTTTTCATTCTCTGTCTCTATATTGAAATTGCATTCTCTTAAGTTTTAAATTCAATTCATTTTCTAGTAAGTACATCATAAAACACCGCATTTCCGATTTGAAGTTGTTCTTTCATACCTGAACATTCATATTAGAGGATAATATTTCGAACGTAAATGTGTTAATTTTTATAGTTTCAATGAAATTGTCACAATAAAACGTAATCATCTATTAAAATAAGATTTTATTTTAATGAAGTTTTTATGAAATTTGTCAACTTTACTCCATGGCAACCAAGGGAATAAAATTTGAAAAAAATACGAACAAAAGGTAGCGTACGCGAAGAGAGACAGAGAAAGTGCACACGTCTTTAAAACGTCTCTGAAAGTGGGAAATGTTAGAGATTGATTTAGATAGAAAGATCACACATCTGTAAAAGTCTGTGCTCGGAATTGAATAAGTTAGGAAGAGGAGACAAATGGAGCAAAGAGCATTCTTCTGTGTAACGTCTGAGAAAAAAGGGAAATGTTAGAAGTGAAATAGGTTAAATTAGAGGAAAGGAGCAAAGAGCGCACTTCTGTGGCTTGTCTGTGAAAAATGAAACTGTTAGAAGTTGAATAAGTTAGAAGAGAGAAATGGAGCAAAAAGCCGGCTTCAGTGAAATTGGAAAAGAGACGAGAAAGAGCCAGGGTACACTTCTTTGAAACGGGAAAACCAGGAGAGCTGCAGCACTGAAGAAGAAGAAGAAGAAGAAGAAGAAGAAGAAGAAGAAGAAGAAGGGGAGCAGGAAGCTCACCGCTGAGCGTGACGACGGCCTCTCCCAGGTCGACGAGGGCGATGTTGTTGTTGAGCGTAGCGAACTCGAAGGCCGGGTTGAGGTGCAGTGCCTGCTGGCCCACCTGCACCACCTGCAGGCCCTCGTCTGGCGCGCTCAGGTCGTACGCGCCCAGATAAACCACAGCGCCTTGGCTCCTGCGAAGCAAGGCAAACAACGACAGAGCTGATAGGTAATGTGTCAAGGTCGGATTTAGGTACTGTGGGTCCTAATGCACATTGTCTTGGGTACTTCCCCTCTCTTGAACAAAAAATCTGCTGGTTTATAAAAAACCCTAATTAAATGTAATTTTAAATTTATAAATATAAATCTTCTAGAATAGTATGTGACTAACAATTCATTTACACATACGGAATAATCCCATATTGTGGGATTATAACGAATAATTTATGTTGTGTTTTTTTTCGGGGCGCAGGATCGCCATGAACTACTTTTTTTTATTTGAACGTAAATACGGTCCTGAAATCTGCTCTTAAAACATGTGAATCTTGTAATTAATTCTGATTTCCTGCCCTCTGTATTAAAGCTTCGACACTGGATTTACGGAGAAAAAAAAGATTATCATTTTTGGGTGATTAGATACTGAAGGCATGCGTTATTAGCCACTAATAAAGTCTATAACCGGTTGGTCCTTTGTTACTCGTGGGTTTAAATAATAATAATAATAATAGTAATAATAAATAATAATAATAATAATAATAATAATAATAATAATAATAATAATAATAATAATAATAATAGAAAATTTGATTTATTGTCAAGTAGTGGAGTCGAACAATTTATTACGACTCACTCGATACCTGCCTCTTGTAAATAACGGCCTCTTTATCGCCCAACTTTACTATGTTCTACTGATACTATTACACACAATAGAAATCAAATGTGATTTGTAAAATTTTATTACATTCGTATATCCTAAATTGCATTTAATTATTTCCTATTTCACATTGCAACGCCCTTTGATATCAAAATACCTGCCTACTTCCTTGAGTAGAGACTCGTTTATGGGTTTTGAGCTTTCAACACTTACAGTACAGATGAGTCTGCGTCGCATTGGGGGTTAGGGGCTGTGGGGAGCGCTCACCCGTAGAGGCAGTAGGCGGCGGTGAGCAGCCAGCGCGCGCTCACCAGCGAGCCCCCGCAGAAGCCGGTGATGCCGCTGAGGGGCGCGACGCCCGCCTGGAACGGGAACTGCGCGCGCGCCGCCTCCGCGCCGCCCACGATGCGCGCCCCCGCCGCGCGCACGGGCTCCGGAGCGCCCTCTGCGCAACAGCAGATTCTTGCGCCTCAGGGCGTGTACTTGGGTTTTTATTTCTTGGCGTTTGAGGGCCTTGTCTGCACGATGGAATATCTCACGGTATTTCGCGTCTTTCTCGGTCGTGCCGATAGATGTCGCATGATCGCTAGCGCTGCTCGACAAAGTCGCGATCATGCGACATCTAACAGCACGACCGAGAAAGACGCGAAATGCCGTGAGATATTCCATCGTGCAGTCAAGGCCCTCATACGCCAAGAAATAAAAACCGAAGTATAGGTTTCCGCCGGAGTCAGTAGCTGGCTTGGCTGTTTGGGAGCCGCCGCGGCCTAGGCACAGGTGCCAACGTTCCGGCTGCCATTCCGCGACCTTC